GGGAGGGGAAATTCCGATTTACAACGGCGCAGGGATACTCGGAGCAAGAGAGGCGGATCTGGTCCAGCACCGTGGCTGTGCAGCGCATCCCGCTCTGCTCCTGGCCCCAAGAAGTTTGGGCCACAGTAGGTACGGGGCGTTTCCAGGCGGCATGTTCTCCAGCTGGGATCTCTGCTATGGAAAAACCCTGCAACAGGCTTTCCCAGCATCCCGGGGGATGCTTCCCACGGCGGTTTATTCCCTGGGGGAACAGCAGGCACAGGTAGTGCTCGGTGGTGGGAATCACAACCAGCTCCTCTGTGAGCAGCGATGTCCCCAGCCAAAACCTGCTCCACTGGGATGTTCTGCCTGTGATGCTCTGGGATGGGGAGGAGGGGTGACTCGGGTGCAGGATGGGGACCCCATCCTGGCCCCCCCCCCCCCCCCCCGCTGATCCTCAGGGATGTGGCAGCGCTGCAGTGAGTGGATGCGTTTTAGGGTCTAGTATTGTGCTTGCAGGATCAGTGGGTACCACATTTGACACCTACCCCAGAGCCCCCCCATATCTAACAGTCGGGGAGATGCTGGCAAACCCCCCTGCTCCTGCAAACGCCACGTCTGGCAGGGAGAGCAGTGAAATCACTGCCATTGATTTTTTCCTCCCTTGCCTGCCTCAACCTGCTGCCTTGGAGGAGATTTATGGTGTTTGCAGTCCCCCCCCACCCGGGTGGGCTGCGGGAGCAGGGGCAGGCTGGCATCTAGCGACTGGTACCGGTAAGGCAGAGCAGACCCCAGGGCCTGGCCTCGTCCCAGAGGGATGAACAGTGGTTTGGGAGGCTCTGGTCTGGATACTGGAGCATCAGTTTGGGGAGCTCATTCTGGGAGGCATTTGATGTGGATCCTCTCAGGTTGCTGGAGTCTCTCTGGCAGCTCTCTGTATCTTCTTTCTGTGCATGGTCCGGTGGAGAAGACAGGGAATATTCACCTTAAAAGACAGGTCATATCCCATCCCATCCTGTTCCCTGGAAAGGCTGCAGGAGTGCATCTTTTGAGGCCAGTGGCTCTGCCCCAGCCGCAGGCATCAGAAAAGGGGCCTAAAGCAGAGCAAGCGTGTGCTTCTTATGCCGAGCAAGAGATTCC